CTCTTATACACATCTAGATGTGTATAAGAGACAGCCCCAGCACCCCCAACCCCAGCACCCCCCACCCCCCACCAAAACCAAAATTTAATTGCAGATTCGGGGTCCTCTCGCCTAGCGCAGAGCGACCCCAGTTTCAAAAAAAAAATAAAAAAAAATCTGGGCGGTTTTTTGTTCCGCCCGGTTTACCCGGGCGCCCCCCCCGGGCCCAACCGGCCGGGCCCAGCCCGGCAGGGCAGGCCCGGCAGGGCGGCGTCCTCACTCAGGTTTTCTCTTATTTGAACGAAAAGGCAACAGCAGGGTATTTTTAGGAGCTATGTCCCAGTTAATCACTTGATGGATATGGTAGCTTGACACATCTGTCAGCAGGTATTGTCAGAAAGATGTAGACGAAGACCATGGTCTGATAGACGATTGATAAAATTGGAGTGTTATGCACACTGATGGCGTCCATCTCTCTTTGGCTGCTACAGACATGATGACATCTGCTCAGACATCCGGATCCAAGCATAACCCGCCCCAATCGACTCTGTTAGCATATACCCTAACAACATCCTTCTCCCCGTAGGATAGGGGAGTTTCTCTGCCATGATGACACAATGCGCCAAGAGAATTGATACATATAACGGGTCCAAAGGAGGGCCATTTACCGATGAAATACACAGCAACCACAACCGCAAGGGCAAGTGAATGTGCAGAAGTTTTGCCTTGAAATGCTGATGAGCTCTCTCCTCCGTGGGGGCCATTTACCGATGAAATACACAACAAACACGACCGCAAGGGCAAGTGACTGTGCAGAAGTTTTGCCTTGAAATGCTGATGAGCTCTCTCCTCCGCGCTGATGGATATAGTGATTATATGCGTTGAAGAAGAGTTAGGAAGGCTTGACTGGTTTCATTTTCACTGTCCAGTGGGTGCAGAACAGGGATGACCCTCCCCAGAATAGAAAAGAGCGAGGAAATCTCAAACAAGAAAAAAGAGTGGAAGAAGTGGAGGTAGAACCGAGACGACTCTCTCCCCAGAATAGAGATGGGCAAGGAAATTTTGAAGGAATGAAAAAAAAAAGAGTGCAAGACTTAGCTATAACATGTTGAAGTAACGAGGGGCTCTCCATGAGCACTGACAGGTCCATAAGTTTGTTTCATTCAAGGAAAGATAAGGGAAGCGGCTGTGGGGGGATGTCCATGGAAGTGATAAGATGGTCTTTCCTTGGCACTCCTACATGTGATCATCATGCTTCNAAGGGAAGCGGCTGTGGGGGGATGTCCATGGAAGTGATAAGATGGTCTTTCCTTGGCACTCCTACATGTGATCATCATGCTTCAGAATGAGTGACAAAGAAAGGCTAAGTGAGGGAGAACGTGAAGGAGCATGTGCTGAAGTACAGTCCACATCGATCCACATGTGCATTCATCATTCCCTGTCTATTCTTCGGTCTCACATCGACATCTATTTTTGATGCACATGTATCAGAAGATTGCAGACCAACTGCCCATTGCAGCATGCCTTATAAGCCCATGTATCGCCTACATAGGACCGCGTGGGAAATGGGACCACGCAGGAATCAGGACCGAGTGGGAACGGGGAGCAGGTGCGAGTGGGGAGCACATGGAAATCGGTGCAGTGGATCAGAAGTTGAACCACAGATGTACAAGAGAGCACATAGTCTTTGCACATGAGAAATCCTCTCGCTTGTAGAATCCACGCCAACGAAGAGTCTCGGGGTGGTGCCTATGACTCACACTGATGCATCTCATGGAGTCCTCTTGCATCGATCAAATTTTCCTTTAGAAGGTAGAACCACTTTTAGTCCAACATAATACCCACACCGGACGGATAATCACAACAACATAGATTCTCGAATGCTGATTTTCACAAGGAAAAGGTGGGAAGGAGGCTTTTGCATACTATCTTATTTCAGCTAGAAGAAGTCCATACACACCTTTGTTGCAGTTGCAATGCCACTCATTCGCTGCATAAAGTTGAGCGCCAATCGTTCCCCCATCAGAATACTCTTTGCCCTACCTGCAAGCCGTCCAACAACCCCCCCTCCTTTCCCCCTTCCCACCACCCCACCCGAAATGTTCCCAGTTTACCATCACGAACACAGAGAAACACAGAGAGAAAGAGCAAAGGATGTTGATGAAACTGTCACTGACGTTGAACAACACAAGTAAGCACGGACAATAAACAGCAATCAAAGGATGTTGATGAAACTGTCGCTGACGTTGAACAACACAAGTAAGCACGGACAATAAACAGCAATCAACAACATAAGACAGCAAACAACAAGAGGAAGGGAAGGAGAAGAAGAGTAATGGTAGGTGTAGGAGGAAGATGGAGGAGGAGAAAGAAGAAGAATAGTAGGAGGGCAAGGAAGATGCACAGATACACAGAGATGGCAGGTATGGGTTCCAAAGCAGATGATGGATGAGCTACAATGGTTTCTATTTTTCTTTCTTTTAAATCATTTCCGTACTTCATTTTCCGTAGAACTTTTCAGCTTCTTTGTTTCTGTGCTGCACACAGGAGTTCGGTATCGTACCAGCAACCGCCCCACCTGCACCTTCCCACAACATACAATGCCTAAACCCTAAACCCCTCTTCCCGAGACCGTTGCAACCCTGAATTTCCCTATGACGGCAAAGTTATCCTCTTGGCGGGTGACATTAGACAAGTGCTCGCTGTTGAAAGCCCTGTGTCCCAAACGATGAAATTGCCAGGAGGTTTGTTGAGTTTATGCTACAAGTGAGTGACACACAATTGTCAACCCGTCTGATCCAGATGCGATCGAACTGTCAGGGGACATCTGCATGCATGCGCCGCTCTCGGCATTCATGGACTAGACCTCCCAAAATCTCAGTGGTCATCTTGGTGACACCAACTGCCTCTCGGGCTGAATTCTGCTGTGTCCTAAGAACTACCCAATCCACTTTATCAATGGCCTCGTTCTTGACAATCTCGTTGATGTCCTCATCCTTCACAATCTCCTTGGGCAGAGCAGTTGCTCAATTCCCTTGATTCTTCACCTTATGACTCGCATGGTCTTAACGTCCCTGCAAAGTACCTCAATGGATTTCTACACTCCGGCCTACCACTGCATAGACTCGCCATCAAGAACGGAATCCCAATCATGCTTCGTCAAAACTTCAGAACATAATGGGTATGTAGTATGTACAATGGAACTCGCCTCATTGTTAGTAGAACAGTTGGTGACAGGCTAGTCAAAACAACGATCCTCCCCACCATATGGTGGCTGCCATCCCCCATCTTAAACCACCAGTACCATTAAGCTGCTCCCGCTGAACCAGTCCGCGGCCAGGGCCCAATGCTGTAGTGGGCTGTGCGAGTTGTACGGGGAAATAACGCCGCCATAAAGCTGGGAAAAAAAAAATATGGAGGAGGTTCTTGGTAGTAGCAGCCAGTGCGCGATGCTTCAGTGGGCTGTGCGAGTTGCAAGGGGAAATCAAGCTGCCATCGCGTTGAAAAAAAAAACAAAAAGAAAGAAAACAAAGGAGGTTGTCGGCAGAAGCAATTACTTTCGCAGGAACTTGCAAGGGGCGGGGGAATACAGTTGTATTACAGCGTTAAAGGAGGTCTTACTGTCAGTCTTTGTCAGGTGCAATAGCTCTTAGCTCTTTTCTACAAAACGGCCCTTGTCCACTGCACAACTGGACGAATGTATCTGGAGCTGGTATCGACCTCATACGCTCAAGGGACGGAACATTCTGATCATATTGCCCACAAAAGAAGTCCAGTTACATGCAGAACGTTGTGCAGTGGAAAGAGGCCCGTATCTTCCTCTGCCACCTTGCTTATATTGTCACGTCCGCCACAGTGTGAAGAGAAAACAAAGATTCGCAAATATATGACGTGCGTACTACGTATACAAGGTATTTTTCATTCATGTACGGTCGGGGTAAGGGACGTCTCATTCCAGGGAAGAGTCGTTGCTATCTCCTTTTCGGATATTTTTTTCCTTCATGGACTCTCGATCATCTTCTGTGCACGCTGCGATCTACTTTTCTTTTCTTCTTTTAATTTGACCTTTTCTTGTTTTCTTTTTAATTTGTATTTTTCCAGAGCCCAAACATCTATCAACCCTGTGGGGGGCACCTCCGGCGTGCTCGGAGGTGAAAAATAATAGCTGGGCGGGGTACTGGCGGTTTAAACTCACCTCTCTACTGAGTCTGCTGGGTTTCTATGACACAGATAACGGTTCCCCCTATGGGTCGCTTTTGCAATTACTATAAACAAGGTCCAAGGGCCAATGGTGTCAAGGGCTGGTCTGTGGCTTGACAAAGCAATGTCTGGTCACGGCCAACTTTATATTTTGGTCTGTCGCGAGTTGGGCATCCGAATGATATCCATGTTGCCCTTCCTGATGCGAGGAGAAGAACGAAAAGCATTGTCTACAGGGAGCTTCTTGTGTTCTGTTCGCTGTAACTTCCTCGGTTTCCTGATCATCTCCATTTTTACTTCGCTGAAGCTGTGCATGTCTCCTCAAGATATCTAACATGTCCACATCATTTTGTTGTGGTTGTCAAGTCATCCATGTGATGGAGAACCACAGCACCACAAGTTCCGTGCGCCAGTGAATCACCATGTCAACCCTTTCTTGCCATCCATCGCAGACATGTGCTTCCAGGTCACATCATTCTCCAACATCTCGACACAGAGACAGCCAGAATCAAACTCTTGTCCAAACATGACCCCCATCATGAGTCCTTGACTCCACCTTTCAAGTTGCCTGTCAAGCAACTGCTGAATGAAGATGGCCTCAATCGCATCTTACTAGAAGAGCCTGCTAACGATGCCACACGAGACACCTCACCTCGTCCCTCCTCATTACCGGTCACATCTTTCTCCAACATCTCGACAGAGAAACAACCAGAATCAAACTGTTGTCCTCAAACATGAGCCACATCACGAGTCCTTGACTCCACCTTCCAAGTTGCCTGTCATGCAACTGCTGAATGAAGATGGCCTCAATTGTATCTTACCAGAAGAGCTTGCTAGGTGTTGTCTACACCTGACACATGAAACAGGCGGGCAGTCTTAACCTCGCCGGACGGACTAGGGAGCCTACACTCATGCTCTCTCAAGTGGAGTGTGGCCCCGGCTGCCTCTCCCCAATCCATTCCTAACACTATGTCAAAAGGAAGGTCATCCTGTACGAGGAGAGTCAAGGAATGGAGAACTTTCTCCACCTTCCCATCTTTCTCTAGGCGAAAATACGCCTGGACTCCCTCTACGTAGTCCTCAACACGCATCGTGCGGTTGTCTGCGAGGACACTGACTATGGGGTCTGTCAACTTTTGGACTTTCAATCTTAGCCTTAGCTTTTTCAATGCTCTACGACTAATGTAACTACGGGTAGCCCCTTAATCTATTAGGGCCCCTACTCTACTCCTGAAAACTTCTACATCAACTAAGATCAGTTGTCCTTTACTCTCTTTCTTCATTTTGGCCCAGGCAGGCATTCTCTCCTTCAACTCTTCTGCCACACCTGTGAGGGAAGTGCCTAGAGAGACTAGCTAGGCACTGGCCTGCAACCCCTGCCATAGGCTCATGTGGTTTGGGAGTTTCCTGTACGCGCTCGCTCGCTTCCCCACATGGCCTTGAAGTAGGTGCAGTTGCGACCCCTACTCGCTCGCTATACTTAGGACAAAATTTAATTACATGGGTCGGGTCACCACAAAACACGCACTTACATGGGTCGGGTCACCACAAAACACGCACTGACCCAAGTCCACGCGTTTCTGTCATACGCGCTGCTCCAAGCCCAGATCTTCCTATGGCCTGCCTTGCGGCAAGCCTGGGTGCCATCCTCCTGACTGTTGAGGCGGCCTTCCACCTCGTCGCGGCGGGGACCGACTAGGACCATGACGATTCGGCGGGGGACCTTGACCCCTACCTCCCACTTGGCGGTTCCCTCGTCCGCCAACCCCCTATGCGCCCGATCCTCGGCCTCCCGTGGCCTGGGCCCTTTGGCCCTGGCCTCCTCTGCCTTGCGGCCTCCCTCCAGCAGCGACAGCAGCATAGGACCTCCCCTGCCCCACGCTACTGTCCTCATCCTCGAGGCCCCACTTGATCTGACTATATGGGACCTCGTCTGTACCACCGTCCTCTAAAATACGGATCATATGATCCTTGGCCCTGACTTGGCCAGAGATGGTACGACCTTTCCACTTCTTCCCCTTGTCCAAGTCCTTATGCCAGAAAGTGGAAACTGGCATGGACTTTGACTCAAACAGGACCACTTCTCTGCTCAACACGTCATATGTGATGTCGGCCTGTTGAGACTTATCAAAGAAATGCCCGCGCAGGGGCTCCGGCATGGCACGATAAAATAATTGGACCAACTGGGGCTCAGTGACCCCATGGTTTGGGACGGCTACCAAGTCGTCCATGACGCCCTTGAGTGCTCTTGCACTCCTCCACTGTCGTGAGTGGATGGTCTGTAACTTGTCAGAGGCTCGAACGCCTCTCGTTGGATCAACAAATCTCTCTCGCAGGAGTTTAAAGAATTGAGGAAGAGGGGTAATCTTAGAATATGCAACCAGGTTGTTTTCACAACTGGCTGCGCGCGCAAGGGATCTAGCAAAACTGGCCGCTTCATCTTTGAGGGCCTGGAAGACGACGAGGACTTGTTCCTCAGTCAACATGTGTTGTAAGAATAAGTAACTATTGACACTCGCCTCCCAGTTATCAAAATTATCTTCCTTCTTCCCGTCGTATGCATCTGGGAATTTAAGCTTGACAGGCTCTTTATGAGGCCTGGCCTCACTCTCGACAGCAGCTACTGCTTTGGCACTCTCAATGGCGCCTTCACAGAACTTTCCTACGTTCTCCCTTAATCGCCTGACTTCACCCCCAACGTGGGTGACCATGTCGCACGCAAAGTCTCGAAACCCTGATCGCATGGCACTTAGGGCTACCTCTTGGCCCCTGTTGGCTTGGCGTTCCTCTAGCCAGGCCTCACTCAACACCTCTAGATACCCCAACATTTTGTCCATCTTGGC